GGGGGGGGGGGAGACAGAGAATCTGAAGCAGGCCCCAGGCTCTGAGTTGTCAGCACAGAGCCCAACGCGGGGCTCGAACTCACGACCTGTGAGATCACGACCTGAGCCGAAGCTGGACACACAACCAACTGAGCCACCCAGGCGACCCATGAAAAACTAACTCTTAAAGCCAAAGATGATATTTAGGAAGATTCCAAGTACCTTGAAAAGGAATATGGCTCCATGTGTATCAGACATTTGTTTGTCTAGAAATGATGTCTCCATACCTTCTAATATCTGAAGGGACTTTATTAAAGATTCTTCTGGTTAAGTTTCAATTCCCAAAATTAATGCCAATTATCATTTGAAATAATGACCCATCAGAAGTCTTCCCAAAATATATACATGCATGTAAATACGTGTTGATTAGACATGGGAAACAGAACAGAATGACACAATCCAAAAACACTTACGAAATGCAAAGCTTTATCTGTTATGATTGACAATGCTCTATAATCCAGGACAACTGCTTAAGAAACCAAATAAATGACGTCTGCTAAAAGTATAAGCGTTAATGTAACTTCATCAACCTCACTGTTTGCCTGATCTTTCTTCCTAAAATATTAGCTAGCTACAGATCAAGTCCTTGCACTGGAGGAATACACAGCATATTACATGCTGTGTGTGTGTGTGTGTGTGTGTGTGTGTGTGTGTGTGTGTGTGTGTGTTTTCTCTGTTTTTGGTTGCTCTGTTGACATAGGCTAACATGCTTCACCTCCAGAAGTCTCATATTTCACGAAAGGTATCCAAATTTATTTTTTCCTGCAAGAAAACTAATTTCACTAACACCACTATAGGAAGTCAGTTATTTTAAGAATCTTTGTTGTTTTTGTTATAACACACATTTTTTTAAAGATTCTTTTTTTTAAGTTATCTCCACACCTAATGTGGGGCTCAAAATTACAACCCTTAGATCAAGAGTCACATGCTCCACTGACTGAGCCAGTCAGGCATCCCTGTTACAACATACATTTCAATCTGATATATCCATTACATCATCGATTGCCATTATTTACCTTGAACAGCTAAGCCGGCTAGCTGAATTGCTTGTTCTAATGTACAAGGAATGTTTCCTTCCAAGATATCTTTCTTCAGCTGCAGATAATACTGGTACCTATAAAAAATGTCAATTAAAAAAAGTCAGTATCAATATTACCTCCAATTGAGACACAATACATTTTACAATAATTTGGTAGAAGAGCAAAAACTAGTCAAAGAAAACCTTAACCCCAGATGGTTTCAAAAAATGACAAGAATGTCCTTGACCATATCTACACCTACACATACATATACGTGCCTATACGCGTGCGCGCGCGCGCACACACACACACACACACACAATGTAATCAATTTGTTGAATCACTTATCCTTAACTGTAGTTATTTCAAAGCTACAACCACTCAGATGACTGGTTGCCTTTCCAATGCCCTGTAAAACAGTTCCTAAGTTTTGTTCTGTTTAGTTGGAGAAACAGAGAATCCATGACCAATCATTACTTTAAAAACCTTGACTAGTCAGAAAGAGAAATCAAGGAATCAACCCCATTTACAATTACACCAAAAACCATAAAATACCCAGGAATAAACCCAACCAGACAGGTGAAAAACCTACACAATGAAAACTATAGAAAGCTTATGAAAGAAATTGAAAAAGACACAAAAAAATGGAAAAAGATTCCATGCTCCTGGATATGAAGAACAAATATTGTTAAAATGTCAATACTACCTAAAGCAATCTACATATCCAATGCAATCTCTATCAAAATAACACGAGCATTCTTCACAGAGGTAGAACAAACAATCCTAAAATTTGTATGGAACCAGGAAAGACCCCAAATAGCCAAAGCAAACCTGAAAAATAACACCAAAGCTGGAGGCATCACAATCCCAGACTTCAAGCTGTATTACAAAGCTGTCATCATCAAGACAGTATGGTACTGGCACAAAAACAGACACATAAATCAATGGAACAGAATAGAGAACCCAGAAATGGACCCACAAACATATGGCCAACTAATCTTTGACAAAGCAGGAAAGAATATCCAATGGAAAAAGACAGTCTCCTCGGCAAATTGTGTTGGGAAAACTGCACAGCAACATGCAGAAAAATGAACCTGGACCACTCTCTTACACCATACACAAAAATAAACTCAAAATGGATGAAAGACCTAAACGTAAGGCAGGAAGCCATCAAAATCCTAGAGGAGAAGACAGGCAACAACATCTTCGACCTCGGCTGCATAAACTTTTTTTTTTTAAGTTTTAAAAAATTATTTATTGAGAGAGAGAGAGAGAGAGAGAGAGAACCAAGGGGAAGGGCAGAGACAGAGGGGGACAGAGGATCCAAAGCGGTCTCTGTGCTGACAGAAGAGAGCCAGCAGAGCCTGATGCAGGGTTCAAACCCACAAACTAGGAGATCATGACCTATGCCAAAATCAGACGCTTAGCTGACTGAGCTACGCAGGTAGGTGCCCCTTGGCCACAGCAACTTCTTACTTGACATGTCTCCAAAGGCAAGGGAAACAAAAGTAAAAATGAACAATTGGGACCTCATCAAGATAAAGAGCTGCACAGAGAAAGAAGTAATCAGCAAGACAAAAAGGCAACTGATGGAATGGGAGAAGATATTTACAAATGACATATCAGATAAAGGGTTAGTATCCAAAATCTATAAAGAACTTATCAAACTCAACAAACAAAAAACAAATAATCCAGTGAAGAGAGGGCAAAAGACATGAATAAACACTTTTCCAAAGAAGACATCAAGATGGCTAAGAGACACATGAAAACATGCTCAACAATCATTCATCATCAGGGAAATACAAATCAAAACCACAATGAGATACCACCTCACACCTGTCAGAATGGCTAAAATTAACAACTCAGGCAACAACAGATGTTGGCGAGGATGCAGAGAAAGAGGAACCTTTTGCACTGCTGGTGGGAATGCAAACTGGTGCTGCCACTCTGGAAAACAGTAGGGAGGTTCCTAAAAAATTAAAAATAGAACTACCCTACGACCCAGCAATTGCACTACTACGTATTTATCCAAAGAATATAGGACCTCTGTTTCAAAGGAGCGCACACACCCCAACGTTTATAGCAGCACTACTGACAATAACCAAAGTATGGAAAGAGCCCAAATATCCACCAACTGATGAATGGATAAAGAAGCAGCAGGGTGTGTGTGTGTGTGTGTACACATACATTTATGTATATGTATACATACACATGCATACATGTATGTATGTATACATATGTGTGTATACATACGTGTGTGTGTGTGTGTGTGCAGTGTATACACACACACATAATGGAATATTATTCGGTGATCAAAAATAATGGAATCTTGGGGCACCTGGGTGGCGCAGTCAGTTAAGCATTCGACTTCAGCTCAGGTCATGATCTCACGGTCTGTGAGTTCGAGCCCCACGTCAGGCTCTGTGCTGACAGCTCAGAGCCTGGACCCTACTTCAGCTTCTGTCTCCCCCTCTCCGTTTCCTCCTTTACTCACTCTCTGTCTCTGTCTTTCTGTCTCAAAAATTAATAAATGTTAAAAAAATAAAAAAAAAATAATGAAATTCTTGCCATTTGCAACAACATGGATGGAACTAGAGTGTTTATGCTAAGCGAAATAAGTCAGCCAGAGAAAGACAAATACCATGTGACTTCACTCATGTGGAATTTAAGATACAAAACAGATGAACATAAAGGAAGGGAAACAAAAATAATATAAAATAAGGGAAGAGGACAAACCATAAGAGACTCTTAAATACAGAGAACGAACTGAGGGTTGCTGGAGGGGTTTTGGGTGGGGGGATGGGCTAAATGGGCAAGGGGCATTAAGGAGGACACTTGTTGGGAGGAGCAATGGGTACTCTATGTAAGTGATGAATCACAAAAGTCTATTCCTGAAATCATTATTATCTATATGTTAACTTGGTTGTAAATTAAAAATAATAATATAAATAAAAATTAAAAAATAAGAACCCTGACTAGTAACCTGGTAAGATAAGACTTTGGTAGAAGTTACTTATTCTGATGGAAGTTCCCTACCCTAGGAAGTAAAGCCAAAAGAAAATGCTTCCTGATATTTCAGACCAGGCTTATATTAAAATATTTTGAAGAAATCCCCAAAAGAATAGCATCATAGCTTTCTTAATACTCTTGTAATGTGGGTTTACTTCTGTTTACACTTTCAATATACAGGGCACTAGTTACCAGCACAAGCTTTAGTCAAGCAGACCTAGGTTAAATTCCAGCTCCCCAACGTAGCAGTTTGAATGAACAAGGGCAAGTCATAACCTGTGGCTTTAACTTATCACCAATAAAGGGGCACCTGGGTGCCTCAGTTGGTTAAGCATCTGACTCCTGATTTCAGCCTCAGATCATGATCTCATGATTCTTGGGACAGAGCCCTGAGTCAGAACCTGATTGGGATTCTCTCTCTCCCTCTCTCTTTGCCCCTCCTCTGCCTCTCCCACTCTCTCTCCCTCAAAATAAGTAGACTTTAAGTAAGTAAAATAAAATAAATTATCACCAGTAAAATAAGAGTACTATCGCCCATTCACAAGGTTGAGCATATGAAGCCAATTAACAGTTATTTCATCTATAACCACTACTCCAGTTTGATAAAGCTCTACAGTGAAGATTTATGCTGCTTTCCTTTGATTTATTCATTTCACTGGTAATTACGAGGGCCTACTATGCGCCAAGCATTGTTCTAGATGCTGGGAATACAATGTTGAATGAAGATACACCAACTCCCTGCCAGTATAGTCTATAGAGCCATCTTGAATCCAGAATCTCTTCCGGGTTTGGCATCTGTGAATGCAACCTGGTCACGTTTTAATTCCCCTCAGAGCCCACCCCTTTAATCACTTCATATGTTTCCTAACATCATCCACTTTTATTTTAGCTAGCTGTGAAGTCTCCATTCTTTGTTACAAAAAACACCATCCATTCGGATAAGAATTTAGATCCACCTTATCCCGTCCACCTGCTAGTGGTAAGTAGCAGAACCCATAGATTTCCTTCAACAAACAAACAGAATGCTGGTAGCTCTGGGATCTTGTCAAAGAAGAAAACTTCAAACCTTCTACTAGGCAGCTCCATTCCGAAGCCTATTTAAAGAAGATCGTATTTAGAGAAGTCTATCTATTGAACATGCCAGCCACATACCCCACTCTAAATACTCTAGGTGCTTTCCTTAAAACCAAATCGCTGGAAAGCAACACACCTGCACCAAATTAGCTTAGTCTTCCACAGAAAGGCACACATTTTTTTGCCTTGTGTCACACTTTTCTATTTTAAGAGTCGATTCCTCCACAGTTGCTCTAAATTGTTCATTGTTGGTTCAATGTCTTCTACACAAAATCCCACCTGAAAATTTCCTTTTGAATGATATACCAAGAAAATCTGTCATGTTTGCAAACTGATATGCTTTGTTTTGTTCTGTTTTGTTTTATCAGATGATGGATGATGGAACTCAGATAATTCCTTCTTTTGCCTTGACTGCCATGGAGCTCAGAGCTAAACTCCAGGCACAGCCAGTCACTGCTTCCCCTCTCCTTCCCTTCCTAACCACTTGCTCCACCTGTTTAATAACAGCCACCTTGTACTCAGGCACAGCTGAAGCTCAGAGATTAAATAATATGCAGAGATTAAATAATACCGCAAAGGTAGGCTGAGTCGGAGTTTGAATCTCGGTCAGAATGACCCCAAAGTGCGTGTTTTTGACTGTCACAAATCTCCAGTGAAGAATTTTCCTAGTATTTTTATCCTATTTCTTTAGTTTTTTTTTTTGTTTTTTTTTTTAATATTAGAGTCCATATGAATACAATGGTTGAGAGCAAGAACTGAGAAGTCAGCCTGCTTGAGTTTAAATCTCAGTTCCACCACATACTGGCAGTGTGACCTTGGGCAAGATATTTATTTAGCCTTTCTGTGCTTTGGTTTCCTCATCTACAAAATGGATAATAATACCTACTCTGTAAGATTTGTTGTGCGGAGGAAGTGAATGATTAAGTATAAAGTACTTGGGACAGTGCCTGACATATAGTAAGAAAGGTAAGTGGTTGCTTTTACTATTATCTTTCATCGTATTGTCCTTAAAATCCTTTAATGGAAGCAAGCAGTGTGTGCACATGTGTACATATGCATATATATGTATATACCCATATATATGTGTGTATATGTATGCATGTATGTATATATTTAAGTATTTACTTAAAAGGAAAGGACCAAGAAATTTTACTTCAAAGGTTATTAGCACTTCTATTAACACTTTTTGTTAAAATTATAATATGCTGGTGAGGCTAAGGATGATTTACAAATCTCTTCTTTCAGTATTTACTGCAAAAAGAATAATTAAAAAACAACACAGTAATAAAATGTAACATGCAAACTTTTATTCCTTACAAACAGTTCTGAATTAAAGAAACTGCACATCTTAATTCTAAACAAGTGTTCTATAAATTTGCCCAAAGCCAAAATACTAATTAAAATAGACGTTTCATCTCAACCTTATGCACTTAATCAACTTTCTAATATAAAATACTTTTATACAAGAAATATTACATGAAACAATTATAATAAATTAGGTTGCCCCATTTTGCCCAACAGATATTTCAGTATATAAAGAGGCAGTCTTTTCCTTCACCTTTTTTTTAAAGTTTATTTTGAGAATTTATTTTAAAGTTTATTTGAGAGAAAGAGCACATGTGCACGCACAAGCGGAGCAGGGGCAGAGAGAGGGAAAGAATTCCAGGCAGACTCCGCACCATCTGCCTCGAGCCCGATGCAGGGCTCAAACTCACGACCTGTGAGATCATGACCTGAGCCGAAATCAAGAGTAAGGTACTCAACCAACCAGGCCACCAGGTGCCCTCCCCACCCACATTTATTTTAGGTTTATTTATTTCCTTCACTTGTTTTTCTTAGGCTAGTATTAGAAGGCTAACGTGTCGGTAATGGCATTTTAAAGTTTTATTATGGAAATTCTGAAACACATATACAGAAAACAAGTCCCAGTAAACCCACACATCCTTATCATGCAGCCTCAATCATCACTTTATCCATACTGTTTCCTCTACATTCTCCCCTTCCCCACCCAAGTGCTTTAAATCAAATCCCAGATATATCATAGCACCTACAGGTACTTTAGTACATATTTCTAAAAGATAAGCTTTAAAAAAAAAAAAAAGCCACATTTTTAACATAACCAACAAAATGAGCAATAGTGCCTTAAAGCTACCCAATATCCAGTCCACATACAATTTTTGTGATTGCTTCAAAAACATTTTTTTTTTTTTTTTGAAGATTTTACTTAAGTAATCTCTACATCCAACATGGGGCTTGAACTTACAACCCTGAGATCAAGAGTTGCATGCTCTACCAACTGAGCTAGCCAGGTGCCCCTCAAAAATGTATTTTTACAGTTTCTTTATTTTTACTTTTTTTATTTTTAATTTTTTTGTTTATGTATTTTTGAGAGAGAGACACGGCACGAGTTGGGGAGGGGCAGAGAGGAAAACACAGAATCTGAAGCAGACTCCAGGCTCTAAGCTGTCACCACAGAGCCCAACGCAGAGCTCAAACCCATGAATCACCAGACCATGACGTGAGCCTAAGTCAGACACTTAACCCACTCAGCCACCCAGGTGCCCCTACAGATCTAAACAGGTTCACAGATTACACTGAATTGACATTTTTTTTTTTAATTTTTATTTTAGAGATAGAGCACAAGCAGGGAGATGGACAAAGAGAGAGAATCTCAAGCAGGCTCCACACTCAGTGCAGAGCCTGATGCAGGGCTCGATCCCAGGACCCTGGGATCATGACCTGAGCCGAAATCAGAGTCGGACGCTCAACCAACTGAGCCACCCAGGTGCCCTAATTGGATTGACATTTCTAAATCTCTCTTAATTTTAAAAAGAAAAACTCCTTCTCTTTATTTTCATGTTATTTGTATTCGAAATGGTATGATGTGTCAAGTAGAATTCCCTACATTCTGGGTTTATCTGATTGCACTCTTGTAGGGTCATTTAACATGTTCATCTATTCTCCAATTTCTCCTGCGAACTGTTAGATTTAGAGCTGTGTTGTCTAACAGAAATTTCTGCAGTGATAAAGAGGATATATATCTGTGCTGTCCAATATGGTAGCCTTTAGCCACATGCGGCTACTGAGTACTTAAAATGTGGCTAGTGTAGTGTGACTGAGGAACTGAGAAAGGCCTCTTAAAGGCACATGAATCAGGGCACCTGGATGGCTCAGGCGGTTAAGCATCCATCCGACTCTTGATTTCTGCTAGGGTCATGATCGCATGGTTCAGGAGTTTGAGGCCCACATTGGGCTCTGCGCTGACAGCACGTGGCCTGCTTGGGACTCTCTCTCTCTTTCTCCACCTCTCTGCCCCTTCCCCACTCACATTCTCTCTCTCTCTCAAAATAAATAAATAAAATTTTTAAAAAACAATATGAATCAGCTAAGGGTAGAACCAGTTTTACCCTTTTGCTGCCAGAATACGAATGTGATAGCTAGAACTTCTCTAGAATTATTTGACAAGGATATCTCCCAGTGAATGGAAAGAACACACCAAGGATGGCAGTACAGAAAGAGAGAAAGAGCATGGGTCCCTGAAGACTGTGGAGCAGCAGAAGCTCTGCATGGCTGACCTCTGGACTTATTTAACAAGTGAAAGATATTTAGGGTTTTTGGTCACATGTTGCCAAACTTAATCCTTACTGGTACAACTTCTCTACCAGGTTCTCCTATACATAATCAATGTGCACTCCTACTGACTCAATCTACCAGGCCTTAGTCCTTCCTACAGCTAATGCCTTTGTTCAGGTCCACATTCTAGACTAATGTCTGGATTGTGGCGTATACATTCCTAACTGGTCTCCTAACTATATAGTCTTGCCACCTCTAAGCTACCTTCCGTGACAGGTGATGTTGGTAAAATACTAATGTCATCATCCCATTCTGTAAAAATTCGAAAATGTCTTTCCCCATTGTACCATGACCTTATGACTAGGACATTCCTATTTTTCAAATCTCCTCTCCCCTCTCTAGGTAATATCTGAAATTTCCTGAAAACACCAGAGGCTTTCATTCTCTCCCCTACTCTGCACCAGCTATTCCCTCTAACTGGAAAATTCCTTCTAAAGTCAAGTGAAAAGTCAACTTCTTTACTTGCCTGCTCCAGTTCCTTGGTGCCCCACCCCTAGGAATCTTCTGTTTTAATGAAAGCATTTATCATCATAATATACTGTAATTGTTTATTTACACGGGCTGTTGCTTCCAGACTCCAGTCACTCCTCCAGGGCAGGATTAAAGCCTAGTCACTTGTATACTCGTCTCCCACAGAGCTCTGACATCATACCATATTACATTTTCACTAAATGTTTAAATAAATGAGTCATTGATCAGTTGCTGTTTTTCCTCCTGGCTTCTACTTCTCTCGTCAACATTCCTATCTCAGGTCACTTTTACAGTCAGTGCATGTTTATTATCCCTACTACCTGATTCTTGCTTCTTAGGTTTCATATCTTCTTCCGATAATTAACTGGCAAACTCAGTACTCAGAGAGAACATTACACAAACACAGGGCAGTACCAGGTTCTTATGTACAGGGTACCGTGTTAGATACTGTGCGAAAGGTAAAGCTAAAGAACACTTACAGGTTTAAAATCCAAGAAAAAGATAAGATATGTACACAAAGAACTATAACGAAAGGCTGTAACAACTGCCATCTGAACACAAGTACAAGCAAATTGTAGGACAGTCTGGAAAAGGCAAAAGCTCATTCCAGGCCAAGGGTCGCAGAAACTTCATGGAGGAGGTGCCTTTTGAACTGAAATTCAGAAGACAAATAGGATTCCACTACATAAATAAGGAAGATCTAGGACCCAAAGATGAAAAGGCATGCGGCATGTTCCGGGCACTGGAAGTAGTCCAGCTCGGCTGAAAAGTAATGTTAAATGGGGTTCAAAAGATAAGGTAGTAGTGGATTTTGGAGAACTCTGAAAGGCAGACTCATGAATCCAAATTTTATTCCTTGTTTTTTATTCAAGGAAAAAAAATGCAGTTCCTCCATCCCACTCCTTAATATGACCTTCCCTCTCTACCTCTGTCCTTTCTAAGTGAACTTACCGGCCTCTTCCACCCTGGACACGCTCCCCCTCCCAACTACCTACAGACTATAGCTACTGAAGTCAAAGAACTGTAAGAACCCCTCTGCACATCTGCACATTTCCCTGAGGGATGAAGACAGATTCCGCAACTTTTTAAAATTTCCTCTCTCATTTCAGTGTTAACAAAGATCAGAAACAAATCAACAAAAACTTTGAAGGAAACATCACAACAAGAAGAGTTCACAGCCAGGATAAAAACATCATCTTCCCCTTTAATCACTCCTTTGTGCCTAGTGAAACCATAATTCATGCAACACACAATAAAATACTCTGACACACTGCATACCAGAACCTCCCTGCAATAATGTGGCTAAATATGTGGGCAGGACGGCAATGTTTAGTCTTATCTCCTGACTTTAACCTTGGTGTCACTTTTTTAATCTCATTAGATTATTTCCTAAAAACAAAGAGCATATTAGTGCTCACCTGGTAATCTCCTGCTGCAGCTGTGAAACTGAAGGCACGTAAAACACCACTCCAAAATAGACGGTAGGTTCCAATGCATATTTATCCAGCTGCTTCTTGAGAGGCTTTTCCAAATCTACCCAACGGCGCTGATTTTGCTTGTTGTGGTACCAGAGGCTGAAGTAAGTGATCTGGAAAGAGGGAAAGTCACTGAAGGAGGCAGAAACGTACAAGAGAATTTCTATTCTTTTTTTAAAATTATTTTTAATATTTTTTATTTATTTTTGAGAGAGAGAGACAGACAGAGCACAAGCCGGGGAGAGGCAGAGAGAGAGGGAGACACAGAATCCGAAGCAGCTCCAGGCTCTGAGCTGCCAGCACCACTAACATCGGGCTCGAACCCGTGAACCGCAAGATCATGATCTGAGCTAAAGTCAGACACTGAACCGAGCCACCCAGGCTCCCTCTATTCTCCTAATTGCTCTCATCCATGACCTGGGACCAAGTGAGAACAGACTCCTATGGCTTCCCTTCTGAAAAAGGGACACCATAGCAAAACCTGAAGAAAAGAACACCTCTTATAGGTATATATATAGACACATGCAGGAAATAAAGGTGAAAAGTCAACTACCCTCGCAGACTATTTCTTGAACTATGCACAGAAAAATGCATTCACGGCCTAGACATCAGAATGTAGCAGGTGCTACACAATTTTACAGAGTTTTTAACAAAAAAAACTCATGTGCTGAAAAAAATGTTTAGGTTTAAAATTATCAAAATACTAAATTTATCATAATATTTTACAAGTATAATGGGTTATATCTAGAAGAATTCTGACTACATAGTGTTAGTCCAACTTTTCACCACTCTGGAATTTGTCTTCTATAAATAAATTATTTATATAAATATTGTAAATTCTAGAAATATAGATGCAATTGCAACTTTTATTTGCCCCCTAAAGTTTATTAGATACAAATTTAAAGCAATTGTAATGCTCTGGAGGTAAATTGTCTCTCTCTCTCTCTTTCACTCACTCACACACACGCGCGCACACACACGTGCACGTGCACAAAAAGCTATACCTAAACCAGTAAGACAACTTAAGTATATTGCTTGAAGGTTTAAAAAAATGCCCAGATATTAGCATTTAAATCTCACTTGCTTGTGCAATGAAACTGTTCAGGGAAATCAATACCAGCTATGGGCTTGGTCAACCTGAGAGGTTATTAATGCATGTAGGCGTTGAAATGACAGCCTCGGGCCACTACTAACGTTTACCTTAAAATCAGTTTACAGATCAAGGCAACTGGAAAAATGCCCTGCTTTGTTCTAGGCTCTAGAGCAACATGTAGAACAGAACTTTCTATGATGATGTAAATGTTCTATCTCCAATATAGCAGCCATTAGCTGCATGTGAGCTATGGGGCACCTGGAATGTGGTTAGTGCACCAAGAAACTAAATTTTTAATGTTATTTAATTTTAACTGACTTAAACAGCTGCCAGCATCCAGTGGCACTGTATTGGCAAATACAGCTTTAAAGCAACAATAAAACGAGAAATAATACCACCAGCCTATTTCTTTAACTTGCAATAATCAGTTCAAATTTAAAAAATGAATTTTTAATTTACAGGGAAAAAGAAGAACTATACAAACATGCCCTTGATATTCATTTTATCTTACAATTTGTTACAAGGGAAGGATGTATACCTTTAAAATGAATCTATTAATCAAGTAAACTCAACAAAAGTGAGGAATGTGTCCATTTCCCCTTTATATCAAAACAGCTAGAATAGTGCAGGAATTCAATATATTTTGTTGAAAGAATGCTCTCTTGCTTCTTTGTTGCCACCCAAGCCATCACATATGAATGAAATATCTTGAACATTTACTATGTGCCAGGTTCTGTCCCAAGAACTGTAATAATATCATAGATTGAATCACCACCATTATCTCATGAAGCAGATAATTGTGTGTGTGTGTGTGTGTGTGTGTGTGTGTGTGTGTGTGTGTGTGTGTGTGAAACTGTAAAGTCAGTGTTTGTCCAGGTATCTGTGGATCACTTCTACCAGAATTACCTGGAGAGTTTCTTGAGCTATTCAACTCCCAGTAATTCCTGTGCCTTGATCAAGTGTGAAAACCACTGTATGAGACCACACTGCCCCTCCAGCATTATGCAGGAGATAATGTATGAACAACCTATCCTTGAAAAGCTGCATAGAAATCACAGTTTTGAAAATCCAAACACACTTTAATATAGAAGCAAGTCTGAGTCTTATTGTGAATTATTTTCTGAAGTTATAATTATGTTTATAAAATGAATTACATGTTGTCTTTAAGGATAGAATATCACATTTATAGAAAACAGTATTATTCCTTATTTCTTTTGAACTGCAACAAACAGAAAAGAAAAATCTCATTTAACAGAAAGAAACTGATGCTTAAAATCTAAAGTCCTGGGTCTAATTTCTAACACTCACTTGCTAACTGGGAAGTGGAAAAGTCAATCAGACCAATTCCGTTTTCTCAAATGTAAAAGAAGGTAATAATAAGTGTAATACCTCCTTCACACCTCCATCATGGGGACTGAGTGCAAAACTTAAATCAATGCATTTTGCCACTAGAAAACTACTATATTTTTAAAAGATTATTTAATAAGGGCGCCTGGGTGGCTCAGCAGGTTAAGCATCCTCTCTTGATTTAGGCTCAGGTCAAGATCTCAGGGTTCCTGAGTTCAAGCCCCATGTCAGACTTTGCTGACAGTGGGGAGCCTGCTTGGGATTCTTTGTCCCTCCCTCTCTGCCCCTCCCCCGCTCATGTGCTAGTGCCCCTTTTCTCCCTCAAAACAAATAAACTTAAAAAAAAAAAGATTATTTTGTTTCACCCACTTTGCTAAACACCAGTAAAATCAATTATATACCCCCTCCCAAAATAATTTTCTAATTTTTTACACTTACATGGACCAATTACAACACATTTTGTTAAATGTATTTACGTTTTATGTTTTATCCTTTTTTTTTTTTTAATGTTTATTTATTTTTGAGAGAGACAGAGAGACAGAACATGACCAGGAGAGGGGCAGAGAGAGAGGGAGACACAGAATCCGAAGCAGGCTCCAGGCTGAGCTGTTAGCACAGAGCCCCATGCGAGGCTCAAAACCCAGGAACCGTGAGATCATGACCTGAGCCAAAGTTGGACACCTAACTGAGTCACCCAGGCACCCCCGTTTTATGTTTTTATCTTAGAACTGGACTGAATATACCATGTTTGGTCTGTAAAACATACAACTGCTATGCACTTAATTCCACAAATACTTATTTTCTGCCATAAACCAGAAAGCTGGGCACCCTTTAGGATCTAAAACTATTTGGGTCATAACAGTATATCACTTTTAACCCAAATTAAAAGGACTTAAAAATACTTGTTGTATATATTACTTTTCCCTTTAAATATAGTTGGACTTGAATGCTCCGAACACAAATATTTAAATAGTTATAAAACTATAGGCTTACTATTAGGGGCACCTAGCTGGCTCAGTTGGTAGAGCATGCAACTCTTGATCTTGGAATCATGAATTCAAGCCCCCCGTTGGGCATGGAGCCTACTTAAAAAAAAAACAAAAAACAAAAAACAACACAATAGGTTTATATAATTTGTGGTTGTACTTTCTGTGAACTTATGATATAATTAAAAGAAAAAACATGAATAATCTGCTAGCATTCTAAAAAAGGTACATTCTAAAAGAAATAAAATAATTCTTAAAATGTGCTGTTTATTTTAGCAATGCATTTATTACTCATGCCATATAGATAGAAAATCAAATAAGAAGAGAAATACATTTATAAAATTGCACCATTATTAGTTTTTTATATATCTTATAAAGGAGAAGCAAGGAGTTTAATTGTGCAAACAGCTGAAAATAATAGATATAGCAAATTACTTGCTGATTAGCTATTATATTTGAAGGAGAGTCTAAGATTTTGGACATTTGAACATTAACTGATTATATGCTTTCATACTTGTCCCTGTGTTCAAGTTCTACCTTATGAAGTAGTTAAGCCTAGCCAAAATCAAATTTATATCTTGTTAAATACTTCCAAGGAGGCATTGTATTTCTAAAATTGCAGCTAGAAGTGTTTACATACATGTGGGTAACTAAAATCTCCTAACACCATAATCTTTAGATTCAATGCTTCCTTAGAATTTATACACATACATAATGAAATAACAACATCTGACCGCATAGGATTTTATAAATATAAATAGGTTTTTTCTCTAAGATGGATAGGTAGAGTTTGAACAACAAAATGCTGTAGTTCAATTCTTATCAGGTAGAGAATTTTCCGTGTAAGTCCATTTTGGAGGCTTTGTCTTAGATAATAATCTCAAGCATTTGGATAATTAGCTTTCCAAAATAATTCAAAATCCATCCAAAACACAAAGTGTGGTGGAGGGGAAGGGTCAAAGAAGAGAAGAGAACACTCCTTACCTCATCTATAGGCCAGCATTATCCTGATACCCAAGCCAAAGACACCATCAGAAAACTACAGACCAACAGCTTTTATAAATACAGATGCAAAAATCTTCAACAAAATACTAGTGAACTGAATCCAACAGCATATTAAAGGAATCATACCCCATGACCAACTAAGTGGGATTTATCCCAGAAATGCAAGAGTAGTTCAACATACAAAAAAAATCAATGTAACATATTATTAACATGAAGGGAAAATACATAATCATCTAAAGTGACACAGAAAAAGCATTGGACAAAATTCAACACCCTCTCCCAGTAAAAATACTAAGAAAACTAAGAATACAAAAGAACTTCTCAACATCAAAAGCATTTATGAAGAACCCACAGCTAACATATTCAACAGTGAAAGACTGAAAGCTTGCCCCCTAAGATCAGGCAGGAACAAAATACATACGCCCATGTTCACCACTGCTATCCAACACTGCACTGGAAATTCTAGCCAGAGCTATTAGGTAAGAAAATGAAATAAAGGCATCCAAAACAGGTAGAAGGAAAAATATCTCTGTGTAAACAAGACATGATCCTATACATTTTTTAAAAATCCCCAAAGTGCCCCTACAAAAAAGAAAAAATTCACCAGAGCTAATAAACTCAGCAAAGTTTTAAGTATAAGATCAATATGCACAGATCAGTATGGATTCTAACACATCAGGAA